TAACCTGCAAAGCTCCAGTTAACTGCAATGAAAGGATTTTATTTTGTTTTTTAAAAAGTAGCCACTAGCACAGACCATTATTGTAGGAATGTTGTAGGTCCTTCCCTTCCCGGAGCAACTTTCATCCCTCGATCTGCTTGACAAATGTTCATTAATTCCCTTTCCGACAGGTAAGTGCAGTATGACCCCATTTGACAGATGGGTTCATGGAAACAAAGAGCAGTGAAGTGACTTCTCCAAGACCACAAATCTCAGTGAGCAGGACATTTATTTATTGTGTCGGGCAGATGGCAATGCTGAATTATGAAAGAAGTTACCTGGGGTTTAGTTATGTGTCTGTCCAGGGATACACGAGACCTTCAGCCTCAGTCCCAGCCATGGCAGTGGAGCATCTCTGGGTGTGGATTCTGTCGGTCCAGGGTGGGATTAGCCCTGCACACCCATCTCCTACAGCACCTATGAGCGTGTCAAACCCTCGCGCTCATTCCCTTCTGCCCAGAAAGGGCCGTGGCTGCTGGACTCTGAAGCAGGAATATGTATGAATCCAATGCAGGACAAGGCTAAAGCTGTGATTGGATGCTAATGGTATCGGAAACTGCAAAGAAAGCTCATTACTTTTCTTAGACATGTATTGTTTCTTTATATGCTGCTCAGTAATTGAGTGAACTCTTTCAAAACAAAATCTAGTGGGAAAAAAAAAAAAGCTTAAGCGGTTTCAGACCCTATTCCCATGCTTCCAACACTGGCCAATTTTTGTGGGTTTGCAACCACATTTTCCCTTTTATTTTTGGCAAATATTTTCATTCCAGGGTTTCTGTGGGAAGGACTCCCCGCCCAAAGCCGCCGGTAGTAAAGCTGAGCAAAAGGGCCAGCTGCTGTCAAATGCAGAACATAAACAGTGGAAAACTGGGGGCAGAGTTTTCTCCTGTCTTTTTTTGGCATAATTACTTGAGGCACTCTTTGTAGCAATAATACTTTTAAGACAGGCCGATAGGTGTCATTCTTAATTCTTTCCCTGTTGATGGTGTCTCTTTAATGCGATTAAGAACCACTAATGAGCTGATTCGCCAGCATCTTGTTTTCTGCTCCTAGTCCACAGTGGGGTTTCATTTCTGCTTCCAACTTGGCTATCTTGGTTTTTGCAGTCATTTTCTTTTTTTCTTATGTTCCAGAAGATAAGTTTCCTCTCAACGTCTAATTACAGGCTAAAGTTTATTTTAAGGAGACTTAATACAAGCCAAGGGACTAATTCTCATTTGTGCTTGAGCCTTGTTGCATGGGTCCAGTAACACAATGGAGTGTGAAAGTGAGTAAATATAAACAGAATTCACAGTGGCACACTTTACAACCTTTTTGCACCCTGTGACTCTCATAAAGGAACTTCACATTTAATAAGCCATCTGGTGCCTGGTATTCTTGTTCTCTTTCTTTACGTCTTCATTTCATAATAATGCGACTTAAAAAGCTATGTAGGAGGTGCCAGAGAAGTCCATGATAACCCACTTGTAAGGAGGAAAGGATGAGCATGATGAACTTAAAAGGGAGGAGGAGAAAGACATGGAAAGGTTGCCAGGATGCAATCTGGGGGAGAATAACGCCGAATTTTGTATAAAACCAGAAATTCCAGGTCACAACAATCACATAATTTTGATTTCCTGTGAAGGTATCTTTGGGCTAGGTTTTTAACATGCTAGTGATGCAGAAAGACCCCTCTAGATGCCTATAGGCATTTTCAGTACCACCTGGACACTGAAACTCTCTGAATCAGCGTTTTAGTTAGCTGAACTACTTATAATTTAGCTCCTGAGGCTTGTGGTGTTCTCAATAAAAAAAAATAAAAATTGTATAGCCATAACCAGTGAGAGTGAGGGTTGCGAAGCTATTCCTTACAGTCTGTCTTTTGTTGTGTCACCGTGTTATTGCTGGTATTCAAAGTAACTGATAAAGCAAATAAAAATATGATGCCACTTTGATGTAAGATTTTCTGTAAAATATTTTATAACAGAGTGAGTGAGTCTGAATATTTTCTGCAAGTCAAATTGTACCCACAAAGAAAAAGTTTTGCTGCCATGCTCAACAGGTGGGCTGGTTAGAAAAAGGTGGTCTGGCAAGTGACTCTCTCATCCAGCAACGCTGAATCATCTAAAGGCATGAGGAAAAGCAAACCCCTCCAGATGCAACCCTATTGACTGCCTCAGCTATGTGCTGTGTGTAGATGCTGAACTAAATAATTCAGCCGTGATTGTAGGTCAGCTGAGGTGGAAATTAGTGGCTGTGTGCTTTTGTAGTGACACAAAGCAACCGTGAGCAAAACTGGGCAAGCTTGGAAAACACATACTCAGATGATGAGGTTAATATTTTTTTTAATTGCGCAGCCATGGCCAAGCACTGTGGTCCACCAGTTTGGCAGCAGCCCACTCCTCCCGCTGCAAAGAGGTTCTCAGGCGTCAGGGTTTTTCCAGGAAAAGCCTCTCCGTATGTGCAGCCTCACTGACTGCTCTAACTTCTTAAGCAAGAGCTGAATCCTCAAATTACGTTTGTTTTTATTTTGAGAGGCCAAAATTCCTTTTGCAGGTTCCTCTGGAGATGCGTGAGTCACTGGTGAGACTCAGTTCCTGTACTGCCTCAGTGCAGAGCTGAAGGTCCACGGAGAACTGTAGATGCAGCTGAATACATAGGTGTTATAACCCTGGCCTTTATTACCGTTAAGGAGTTTTCTTGGGAGGGGGGAAGATGAAATCAAGCCATTTCTGAACGAGATGTATGCACTAATGGCACGTGAGACCTTTCATAGTGTGTTTGTTGCTACAGCCAAAGTTTTTAATCTTCTGCAGACATGGAAATTGTTGGAAGCCTTACTTGCTTATTGCCTTGCAGTGCTACGCAAAAAAGTCTCTTCAAAGGCTCAATGCTCAAGTTAGTTACTCGCTTAGGTTTTTCCTTCATGGCAGATCATCTTATTCTGTGCTACTGCTGACAAATTCACACTGGAGTCTAAAACGTGGTGCAGCTTGAACCTCTTGAAAAGAGGTTGTAAAAACATGATAGGACAACACAGGGTTAACTTTCCCTGGGGAGTGAACTAGCTATTATTTATAAAAGGGCAGGGCCTGATTTTCATTTATGTGGAAACTCCTGTGTATAGCTCTGGTAGTCAAAAGAAGCCACAATTTAAACAAGAATTAGGATGTTAACGGTCATAATCACTTCATACGTATAAACAATTACAGCAGGTTTAGCACGAGCCATGAATTGCCAAGCTGCAACATCCAGCTCTTAAGTTTGACGCAAAGATTAGAAGCAACCAAACGGTTATTGCTAACCCCAAGTATTAAGAAATCGTGGGCCAGACCTCCAAAATCTTGAGGCTGTTCTTAAAATGTTTGATATTTTAAAGAAGGTTCATTTGAGTTCACTTCATGTACCTTCTGCCTTTTTAGGCCATAGAAATCACAAAGTGCAGACTTTTTTTTTTTTTTTGTAAACAGAAGCTGAGATTTGGTTGTACATTTATAGGACTGCATGGCTCATGACTCTAAGATGGCATGAAGCATCATGAGACTTGTGGTATGTGCCTTTGAGAGTTGGCAAGACTGTAAAGAACGTATTTTTATTGCCAGGCTGGTTAAGAGATGACTCTGGTTATATGGAAAGAGTAGAACCTACTCAGTAAGGCAGGGCTCTTGTCATAACAAAACATTTCACTATATTTATGCTCGTAAAATGCAACAAGCAGCAAAGAAAATGTAGGTTAAGTGAGGCTGATAGCAAGGCAGTTACAATTTTCATCTTAAAGGTGCAGCTTAGGTGATGTTAAGTAGTGGTTTCCTTCTACGAGTGTAAAACTGCATCCCCGGCAGGTAGTCACCACCGAACAGGAAGGCAACATGCAAGCCTTGTGTTAGGGATTGAAACATCTGTTTTTCCCTGAATGTTAGTTAAGCTTCAGAGAGACCCTTCTCTTTCCTTGTTTAAGCATAACCTACTGTTTATAACACAGTAAAAAGCTGCATGGCACTTTGGGGAGAAGAGCTGCTGTGCAAAAATAGAGGTAGAAGAGTCTCAAACCAATTTTGCAGTATTACACTACTTTGTGTAGCAGACTGCCTAAGACAGTCCCATGCACAGTGTCTTCAAAAGGAAGATCTTTTAAAGTATGCTTTAGCTTGTGCTGCGTGCTGCCCTTGTGTGCAAGAAGCATTGTTGCCTGAGTGCTTCCACCATCGCTCACCAGCTCTGTTTCAAAGAACCTCATAGCAGCAGAATAAGCATCAATTTTGGGAGAGGCTTCGCAGAGCCAGGCTGGAGAACTGGCATCTCCAAAGCAAAAGCAAGACGAGAGAAATACCCTAATTGGGTTTAAATGTGCCTGCCCAGGAAGAGAAGATTTGGGTCTGGGAGGAGTAAACCTCAAAACAGGGAGGGAGGCACAAAGTGTCAGGACGTTGTGAGCACCCAAATGTCTCTCCTTGGCTCTGTGTCTATATTTTGCATCTTTTCTTCTGCATCGTCAAGACAATTACACATCAAGTTCCAGCTCCAGGGTCAGAGCACACTTGCACTGAGCCAGGAAGGCAAAGAGATGCTTTAGCTCTTCCTGAGGGCTTCATTGCAGCGGATGATGCAGAAGAAGAGTAAACCCAGCGTGACTTTTCCAGGTCTGAGCAGGGCTGATGTCAAACAAAAACACCTCCACTTTCAAAATGCGTGTGCGCAAGGCATGTGTACCCTTCATTGCTGGTGCAGTCATAAGGCGTTTTGTCTTCTGGATTGATTTCCCTGCTTTCTGATGCACCGTGTTAGTAAAATCAAGGTTCTTCCTCAGAAGCGTGGCTTCTGAAACAGCCTGCAGTGCCCGTCCCCAGTGCGGGTCTGAACTGCAGGAGGCCTGGTATACTTCAGCAGATGTTTACAACTTGTCACCTTATAAAATCACGTGGAAAGGCTGATGTGAATTCCTGTTAATGCCTTTTCTTTCTTGTGTTGCTGTTGGCTTTCAGCACGTGTGGAGCGAAAGTGAGGATTGCTTACCTTTTCTGCAGCTCGCACAGGATTACATCTCCTCCTGTGGGAAAAAGACACTCCATGAAATATTGGAAAAAGTCTTCAAATCCTTCAGACCTGTAAGTGCCTCTTTTGTACCTCTAAACATTGACAGTTACCTGTGACTTTTAACAGCATAGCACTGGATGGGGCAAAGTGATTTTTCTCCTGCAGGGACTTACATCTCCAGCCAGCTGCCTGGGCGCAGGGGTGTTAGCACGTAAGCTACTATCAGGCAATTGGGAATTGTTTCTTGGAAGCCAGCTGCCTTTTTATTTCCATCTCTGCATTCGAGAGGGTGACATTCCCGCGCAGGGTGGGAGGCCAACTGGTGCGGCAGCCGGGGGCAGCGGCTCCCCAGCTACGCAGGGGCTCGTGTCCTGCTGATGCAGTGCTGACTCCGAGGAACTGGATGCGAGTCAGCGCCGCGGGACTTTGTGGCAGAGTTGTTTCCTGGCGCTGGAATTGGGGAGTTTTGCAAGGATCTGAGTAGCAAGAGTAAACCTCTGGGAAGCTGGAAGTACGGTCTCTTCTCAGAGTGGTTTGTTTTGGTTTAGGGTTGGCTTTTTTTTTTGCCCCCAAGTGGTCCAGATTTTGCTGTTAGGATGGTTGCCACTTGGTATTTGCAAACGCCAGTTTGGTCACTGCTTGAGAAGAAGTTGGAGCAGAAGCTGAGTTTTGTGGGGAAAGGGCTTACATTCTTCTGTTTTGCTGCTACTCAGCTTTCTCTATCCTTGTTTAACACTAAGATTTGGGTCAAAGACTGGATTTCTTCAGGGTGAGGTGACTTAGGCTGGCCATTCTCCTTCATTTTTGCCAAATCCTCCCTTTGCACAGCTTCTCCTTTTGAGTGCCTGGGGCTGGGTAAGGGGCTGGAGTGGAGGTTCATTTCCAGATCCATGCTCCCGTGATGTCCATGGGAAAGCTGACCAACGGACGTTTTTATCCTAAACTGAAAACGTAGACCTTTTTCCCTCCTCTCTTTTTCTGGCTGACTAATCAAGAAGACTGAAAATGTATCCCAAGTATTTAGAGCGAAAGGGAGGAGCTGGGGCGCCGATATGAAAACACTGGCCCTCCCTGTGTTACACCCTTGCATTGCCTTGCCACGGACCACCACAGCTGGTCGACATAAAAGAGCATCGTTTTAAAGAATCCTTTGAGAGACTGGAAATAAATAGAACAGATGCACACTTTTCTTAGAAAGGACTGGAAATCTGATCTGTCAGTACAGCTGCTTGTAATTGTGAAAACATACAAAAATATAAATATGTTTCCCAGAACAGTATTCAGCGCTGGGATCTTCATAGCTGTTTTCTTGTGCTCAGAAAAACTGTGTCTTTGAGGAGAAACTTCCATTGGTTTAACTAAAAAACATTTCAGAAAGCCTTAATGAAATTGGTACAGATCACTTATTTCATTTAAACCACATTTATTTCAGCATAGCTTAAGTTGCTGAGAAATTGGCTTCAGTCAAGCCAAGTTAAGCTACTCTTCAGAATAAAAAGGTTCAAAGTGAGGGGAACCATTATGCTCATTGAATCTGGGCCCTTCGTTAATGCATCACATTTCACCCCGTGATTCGTACCACTGACCACATAAATTGTGTTTGAGCTGGAATGTATCTTTTCCAAAGACGCCCCATCTTGATAGAAAGTCTTCAGGTAACTTAAAGGATACAACACTACTGAGCACTTTTTTTTCTCATCATTAGTTATGCTCCTGTGAAAAACTTTTATTTACAATCTGCATTTTTCTAGATTTGCTTCCTAACTGTTGAATTTCATTATGCTTTTGTCTACTCAAGAACGGTGTCCTCAAGTACCTCTTTATTTTCTCTTGGATGTACCACAAAGATTAAGTTTCTCAGATTCTCCTTTGACCTAGTATTGAGTGATTTGCATCAGCGTAACAAAACCGGTTTTATCATTCAAGGTATGGCTGTGTGTAGACAAGTCTAATAAGGAATGTATTGACATTTTCCCCTTATTGGAATTATTAAAAATAGCACATGCATGGTAGGATAGATTTTAAAAAGTGAAGGGTGATACAATGGATGTATGAAAATAGTTATTTCACACCCTCAGGCCTTTGCCAGAACAAACCCACTTTTCATCAGTATGGGGAAATTATTTCCTTGGCATTACTTTGCGATGTTCCCCATCCTTTCTCTGCTGGACCTGTTTTGCTAATGAGACCACCTTGCTGTGAGCATGGATGTAATAGTGCATTTGCAGGGCACTTCTTCTCCACTATCTCAACCAAGTCTGCTATCAAAGACCAGGCTGGCAAATTTCAGTTTGAAAAATGGCAGTTTAGGAAAAAATGGTGCTGAAGGTCAGACTGGGCTCTTCTGAAATGTCTGATTGTCCTGGCTACTCAGTCTGAGATACTGAGGAGAAGCCAGCGGCCAGACCTTCTGAAAGTCTTTTCCATTTTGGTATTTCCAGCCGGACATCCAAGATTATTTAAAGACAGTTTTGAAAGCCTTTGTTGGGGTCCTTCCAAGGGAAATGTTTAATAGGAGACACTGGTGGTGCATCTGCAGCTCTCCATGCCTTCATGCATGGCACGAGCACCTGCCCTCCCTTAACCGAAGGCTCCCAGACCGATTTTTGCCCAGTAACTCATCTTGGCCCTGCTCCGCGCATTCGTGATAACAGCCCAGCTGTGTCTGCACAGGCTTACCCTGGGACTGCGGCGTGGGATGGGACTGGCTGCTCACGCTGCTGGGCCCCATGTTTCGGAGGTGATGAGAGTGGGGATGCCCAGTGGTTAGTATCCCTCTCAACGAGACACAGATTTCCCTCCGCTCGCAAGGCGCAGGAGGCAGTGAGGGTGGTCGGGGGCTGCTCATCACCCCTCTCTGCTCTCAGGCATCTCTCCCTTATGTTTGATGGCCATAAACACAGTGCCAGGGCAGGATATTTATTTAGATTAGGCTTGTAAAAAGCGTTGGCTAACCTGCGACAGCTAAAACGCACCTCTAAATCCTGCTGTAGACAAGGTCAAGCTGTTTCTTTACTGCAGGTTGTGGGGGCCACATTGTCTTTGCCTATTACTGCCTTCCTGGGTCAGTTTCCCCAAAACTCTGGGATTTATCTTATCCAGTTATTCAGGGAGCATCCAAAAGTGCCAGACACCATGCAGGTACGTGAAGTGGTGTCAATAGCACTAGGCTGAAATACCACTATTTGCCTCAGAGCATCCCAGCTCCTCCGATGCCTTTGTCTCTCAAGTGCCAGAGGTGTCCATGCTGGTGCTTGTCAGCACATCTGCCTGAAGACTGAGCCCTTCACACTGGAATTCGACAGAACCACGTTATCTCTAGCGTAGCATCGTGTGGACTGCTAAAGCTCAGCCTTGTACTTGGCTTATTTTTCAGTGTACTTGTACGTCAGCTTTTGGTAGGAGATGATGTCAGTCTGCTTTCATGACTGAAAAACTACTAGGTTATTTGTGTAAAATCAGGGGACTTTGAAAGAGTTAAGACAGACAGACAAGTAAAAAATAAAATATGCCTGAGGGACATCACACCAACTGGCAGAGTTTGCAGAGAACCAAAACATGAGTCGTACAATTCAGCAGCGAATTCCAGGGCTCCTGCATTGAACTCACCTTCAGCCTAAAAAGCTACATCTGAACTGGGGAGTCTGCAGTGTAAAAGCTATTTATCCCATATTCATTGAATTCATACATGTCCCAGTGACCTCTTTTTTACCTCCAGATGGGTAGTTTGGCCAGGATGTAGTTCAGGTGGTGCTACCGCTGGTGGTTGTCCTTTGTCCTTCCTCTCCACCCTCCTGTCCTCCTCCTCCCCACTTGTACCCACCTGGCAGTTTTGTTCCCCTTGGCTGTTTGGCTGATGGATCAGCTCTCCCTTTCTACACCCCTTTCCTGTTTTACCTCTTTCCTCCTTGTTTTTGCTCTCTGTTAAAGTCCTTTCAAGTCTGCCACGTAGCTGATGATATTTTAATACATGAAGTAGATACGGACTAGAAGCAGAAGCTAGTGTGTTTGAAAGAAAGCAAGGTGGAGTTGGTCTAGGGTTAACTCAGGCCACCTTCATCATCTTATATTGTCCTCATCTTTTATACACCTTCCTTCTGCTTTGACCCAATGTTTGTGGAGCTCCCTGTACTTTGGCCCCTAATCCTTCCTCCTTGGGGTCAAGGTGTGGGCTGTGATTGTCCCTGCAGTCCAGAGAGCGTTAAGGGGTTGATGGCTGTGAGGGACCATAGTCCTGTGGGAAGCAACAAGATATGAGTCTTAAAAGCAGGACCTGCTTGACTGAGGTCCTTGGTGCCTTGGAAGATCCTCAGGTGTCCATGAGAGAACAAAACTGTGCCTCTCTTGGAGGAGCATCCCATCCCATCCCATCCCCACCCTTCCTATGCTCTGTAAAACTGCTAAGGTCTGCAGCATCACTCTGATTTACGCTGCGCCGGGGAGAGGAGAGCTGGGTTTCCCGAGGGCAAAGGGAGAGGGGATGTGTGAAAAGCAGGACGTGCTCGCCATCCTTTGGGATCGTGTGCGTTTTTGCAGTTGTCGTGGTGTATGTTGTGTTTTCTGTGCTAATTTTGCATGGGAAAGGCTTACAGTATCCCATAAAATGAAGACTCATGTGGCTCATTTCCCTGCAAATCAAGGAGGAATTATAACCAGAGCTGGGCAAAAAAAACGTGATCAAAGCTCTTTCTGCCGGGTGATATAAATGGAGCAGTACAACACTCACATTTAATTTGACTACACCAAATCAGTTTAGCGAAAATAATACTGGTGGATAAGAAAGTCTAGAGGCCTTGCTTTTGTGTTTTAAAAACTGAGTATTTTCATTTTAGCTTCAACGTGAAACAAAACCCCCACATCTTGAAAATGAACCAAGTAGTTTCACGTTCAGTTAAGCATTTGATTTGAAAAATATGTATGTATAGGAATATTTACTTTTTGTTCTGCTCAGAAAACAAGAACATTTTCAGCTTGGGGTCTCTCTGTAAGTATTTTTAAAATGCAAAGGAGGGGGTTTAGTTAGCAAATTCTCCTTCCATTTCCCTGCCAAAGAAACCCTGCAACTAAAAACCTGGTTTTCTCCCAGTGATGTGAGGAATACAAGCTTCGTTGGACCCAGAGGTTAATTCTGTGCATTGTATTTGTGTCCACTGAATAATTTTGAATGTTGATCAGACTGAATTAGTTTAGGTCTCTAAAAATCTGCCTTGTCACAGCCTTCTTTTTTTCATGCTACCACCTAGCGAGCGTCACCCTCCTCATGATTTTTCTGGGCTTTGCCTCTTTTGAGAGCTAACAGCCGCGTCACTCTCCAAACAGGGTGTTGCATGCATCTCTGCTGATCTTCCAGCCCTGGCAAGCTAAATACATGGTATTCCCAATAATACCTGGCATACGATTTTGGTTTGTGGCTATTAATAGTTGTTAGCGTAGGATTCTAATACGAGATTTCCACAACACGTGCATTCTTTTGACTATTATTGTTTATCTGTCTTCTTGACTTCTGTCGGCTTGGCAACCTTTTGGAGGAGAGGGGAAAAGTTCAAACATCGCTGTTTGGGCCTTCTGTATCAAACAAGTGCCATTGCAGTGATCGGAGGCATCCAAACATTGTCCAAGGAAGATGGGCTGGCAGTTCTTCACAAGCCCAAATCTAATTTGCAGAAATTTAAAGGGACTCGGACAATTTTCAGTTGAATACACAGTATTTCTGACTGCGAGGGCTTTACCCAGCGTGCAAGGCTTTGTCAGGTGTGATGGAGTGAAGGGTTCAAGAGAAGCACTTAACGTGATGGGATCTTTAGCTTTTTAGGGACTCCTTGCGTACTCCATACTAACCAGTTCTGCATGAGGATGCTCTCTTCTTTAGCTTTTGTAGGGTTGCCAAACACGATCTTAAACCCAGGTAACTACTGCTGCAGTATTATCGTGGTTCTTTCTGAAGTTAAAGCACTGCCAAGTCTAAACACTCAACAATTCATGATACGACCTCAGGGAAGAACGCAAAGCTTTTTGCAAGTGCTTTGCTTTGGTTTTATTTATCTCCCAGTCTCTGAGCACTTAATTTTGTGTGAGTATGCATTTTCAAATCTTTCTCTGTCACAGAAGGGAGAAAAAGAGAGTCGAGATCATTATGCAATACCATTATTCCAGGGTTTGAGGTTTTCAAGAAATGGCACCTAGCTATTCTGAGACTTGCAGAGAAGCTGCGTGAGTGGGTAATTCACTATTACACAGTATTTTCTCTTCTTTGTAGTTACTTGGGCTTCCAGATGTTGATGATGATGCGTTTGAAGAATATAATGCAGATGTGGAAGAAGAGGAACCAGAAGCCGATCACCAACAGATGGGTGTCAGTCAGCAGTGATTTTATGAGAAGCTAAAAAATTCGGAAGCCTTTGGTACCAGGGTCAGGTGGTCCCACGTTAGCCTGTTCGAATTAGCACATCACATGGGGATATCTGGCTCCCAGGATAAAAGTTTTACAAAACGGTTTAAAAAAAAATAATAATAATAATCTGTGATGAGCTTTGCTAAGAAGTGACCTGAATTTTGCTCCTGCTTCAGTGGGTTTTCTATGGAGTTGTCTTGGTAGCATTCTGCCATTATCAGTCTAGTTTTGTTGCTGACTTGTCTCTTCGATTTGTGTTTGAGTTTAGCATTCGCTGACATGAATGTAGAGTACCGAGAATGTAGGCAGCATGTGGTGAGAGGGCTGAGTCCTCACCGGTGACCTTTCTGAGGAAACCAGCGCAGAGACCAAATGCGACCTGCGCTTTTCTTTTTAGTTCAACAGCTATGGTTTTTGACAAAGTACCAAACTTGGAGAGATTTCTCTTGAAAAACACTAGTTTAATAGTGGTCAGTACTGCAGAAGTGCGCATGAAGGCTTAATAAAAATAATGGGAAGTGGGAAATCCAGGGGAGTATTGGTGTCAGATGTATTAATGTCGTTTTATTGACACCTGAGTTTACAAGTGCTGGATTGATAACTGGGAGTAATTAGTATCAGCAGTACACGTTATAACCAACCCTGGTGCTCCAACACCATTTGATCCAAAGCCAAACGCTGCTTTTGTACAAATCAATTAAAAAATAGCCATCGCCTATCCCACTTCTGCATGACAACCAACTTTAAGATTCCCTGTTCTTAATACACTGCTAAATTACTACTCAAACCTTGTAGCGTCATGAATTGAAGTGCAACTTAACTTTGAAGCCATAAGGGTATAAACCAGCACCTGGCTCTTAAAAATTATGCTGGACCTGTTCCTCTCCCTGGGCCTTTGAGCTAGTCTGGGCATTTTCATCGTTGGAGGGAAGCTAAAATACTACTACCTTGGCTGATATAAAAACTAGTGAGGTTTTACTTAGCTGGGGACTTGCTCTCCAGAGGGGTTTGGCTGGGTCTTGGTATAAAGGAGAAGATGACCCCTTGTATTTTATACCTGTTTGGCATAGATTTAAGTGACTTGGATGAGTGCCAAACTGTGAAGATGCAGGGTCTCTTTATTTACTTGCCTTTTGTACTGAAACTATAAGAAGCGAAGGGGATTCTGTTATAATACAGCTATTTTCCACAACTGAGCAAAATGTTTCTAAATTTACTCCTTTTTTCCAATTTTTTAAAAATCATGAAATGAAGGTCACATGCTTAAAAAGCCCTTTTATACAAAATTAGCTTTATAAAAACAAAAAGTGAGCGAAGAGAAAATGCTTGGACAACTCCTAGAAGCAACTCACACCATTTTGAAAACCCTGTTGTTAGCCATGTCTCCTTTTCAATAGATTTTTTAAAGATTGTTCTTCAAGGTTACTTAAGAGAGCAAGTTTTCTTGGTGGTTTACATTGCTGATGATGGCTTGAGAGATGCATAGCACTTGATTTTTCCGATCTGGGGCAAAGACCTTCCATAACTGGGACGGTGTGTGGTACCTGAGTATGCACAGATGTGTCTGCAACACTGTAAAAGTCAGAGTTTAAGAATATCGAAAAAAACCGGAGAGAAATAGAGCTTAATGCAACTTTGTACATTATTTCGGCATGCAGGCATAAACATGGTAGTCGCAGCACATTTTCTATGGACTAGTGACGTGAGAACCGTGGCAGTTCATTGTATAACACTGTACAGCAGCAATAGGCTTTTTGCTTACTAAAATAAAGTGTAAGACCAGTGTTTTCCATCCCTGCTTTAAGTCCCTAAGTTTTTCTTTCCTGTCCTGCCAAAACAGATGCCATAAGCTTAAACAGAGCCTTGTTTCAGGAGAACCTTTCTCTTCGTAGCATCGAATTCTTTGGTTGCGGCTCATACCAGTAGATCTTTTGGGGCTGACTTTCCTCTGCTGTAACGTAGTGCAAGATGTAATTTACAGTAGCGCAAGCCGGAGGCAAAGTCCTGTCGTTCAGGTTTGCTGGCCACTTGCACCCGTTTTGCTTAGGTGCAGGTGGCTGGCACCGACACGCGTGCGCACGCACCCACACGCACACCTGCACGAGCCCCAGGCACGGCTGCGTCGTGAGCTGAGCTGCGGGGTCAGCCTGGCTGGGAAATAACCCTCTGCCTTTTTTACGGACAGGCAGTTTTCCAGCTGGATCAGTCCCACCACCTGGTTCAACGCGTGGCTGCACAGAGGAGTGCCGGCACAACAGAGGGGAGGGTGCAGGGGTGGACACGGGTGGTAGCTGAGGACCCACAGCCAAAGGCTCCTTGCACCTCTTGCATGGTGTTAGGGGCCGGTGGCGGAGGTGCGGACGTGATCTGAACCAAGCGCTGTGAAGGATTGACTCCACAAGGCTCAACTGGAGAATCGGGCTCTGGGTGGCAGTGGGATAGGCAGGAGTTCATGAAATGAGGAAAGACTGTAAGATCTAGTGCTTATAATTGCATACAGGAGGTTGTAATATGTACTGCACGCTGCTACCTTTCCCTGCATATTGATTGAATTGTTACTGAGCATTTGAGCATTAATATGGTTACAAGGAAACATAAAGCTGTAAATTATGTAGATACGTTTTCTGTATTCACTAACAACTCACTCTTTTTTTGGAATGCCATTTGGGTGACCTCCACACCAGCCTGCAAATGCTGAACAGCTGGGGGGGGCCTTCTGCAGCTCCCACCCCTGCAAAATTCCCACTGAAGCCAGCGAGATGTTGCTCGAACGGGACCTGCAGGACCAGGCGCTCCGGGGAATGCGCGAGGCTTGGTCCTGCAGAGAGCTGAGTGCTCTCCTCCCTGCTCACTTCGCTGGGAGCCGAATGTCTTGAGCCCTGCTGCTGAACTGAAGCATGACCAGGCAGCACTGAGAATAAACTGGAATTTTATACACAGAAAATTTAATTTACATGTGTGTTAAATGTGAATGAGCATTAATATAGAATGTATTTTATCAAAAAATATCGATTGCTTACTTTGACCAAATACATTTCTGTATTGCCATGTTACTTGTTCCATACTTACCAAACGATTGAAGAGATGCGGAACTGGTTTAGTTGTATTACAAAGTATTTTTATATTTTATTTGTATTTTATTTTTCCCTCACTCCCACCACATATTCAGGTTAGTAGCCATTCAGTAATTAACCACGGATAGCATGACCCAGTGGCTAGACTGCCAGACACAAGATTTGCGAACGCATGCATAAATGCTTGCAAGCTTGGGGACTCGGTGAGAAAATGTGGGTTCAGAGCTCTGCCATTGCCTGGCCCTGAGCTTCGGGTGGATCTCAGTGGCTGGGAATTCAAGGCAGGCCTCCAGTTATGCATCCAGGCCTCCATGAAATTCGGTGGGAGCAGGGCAATTCCTTTGAAAATCCCACCGTAAGTCTTTTGTAAAAGGGGCCGTTAATATTGTTTGCCCACCAGTGTATAAAGTGCTTTTAGATCTGTGGGTGAAAAGAGGTATGCGTTACCATTGCCTATCCTCAAAGCAAACCATTAGTGAAAGGACATAGAAGAGTCTCCCTTCTCCTCTCTCTCTCATACCTCTAGCTAAATATAAATATACCAGAGCAGAGCCTCTTGCAGAACTGGTGCTTCTGAATATGAGTTGCGTGAATGCAGCGAGCAGAGTGCTGCTTGGGGGATGAGAAGTACACGGGATGCCAGAGGGAAGAGCAGATTTTAGAAATGCAACAACTGGTTTGAGTAGCAGGGGCAAGAGTGAGAAAGGGCCCTTTCAGAGAGATGCTGGGATTTCTGAGACAGCCCAAGCCATGTATCTGCTTATTGAACCTATGGAGTTTATAAAAAGCTGCTCTGGACATTACTGGAGCCTTGAGCTTTTTCTGTTAGTGTCCTTCCTGATGAATGGATTGAGATGGTTGAAAGAGGAAGGGATGGAGAAAAGACAAACTAAAAAGCCTTCTCCTCCTCTCTTCCCTAACATTATTATTTATGATACTGTGTGAGTAGGTAGGAGCAGCAGTCAGGGAGCATGAAGCTGCTTTATTATGTGCACAGTAAAATCTCTTAAAAGGACTTGCTCATGACAGAAAAAATGGGCAAACGGCAAACCGTTTCCTCTCAAAAAGTGGGGGAATAGCACACCCCTGAGCATGATGACCTGAACCCTACCAGACTTTCCCAGCTCCACCTCCTGCCCTGGTCTGGGTTGTTTTCCAGACAGTTTCCCTCTGTGCATAGTGCTGTGCCTTTGAAAGTCACATGCCTGTAAGAATGCCGCTTTTGATGCGAATAGCTAGAGTTGCTTTTCCTACATCAGTGACCTGCATGCTGGCTGCTGTGTTTTGGCACTGTGTCCCGTGCAAGATGTGCTGTGTGAGATGGTGGCGGGGGGCAGCGGGGAGGAGTTTCTGCTGCAGCATTGCTTAGTAGGTGGCATGAGACTGTGACCGTAGAAGTGATTGCAGTGACATTATGGACATTGCTTTGGGAAGCTGCCATACAAGACAGACTCCCAGCCTCTTTCCACATGTTTCCTGATCTTTCACTGGGACCCAGAGCTGAAGTCCAGGGCTGTTTTACTCACAGTCAGCTTTAGCTGTGGCAGGAGGCAAGGTTGCCAGTTCATCCATCCTTACCTTGTGTCCACCCATGACCTGTGTCCATTCTTACCCCATGTCCATCTTTCTCTCATGTCCATCCTTACCCTGTATACATTCTTCCCTTGTTTCCATCCTTACCGCTCTGTTCTCAGAAATTCCCACTCCTAGAAGAAGGGAAGCAGAGGAAGGAACACCTCTTACCTCCCACAGCTTGTGGCATCAGTGAGAGCCGCAGTTCCGTGTCAGTGAGTGTGTTACTGAGCCGCACGCTCCTCCTCACAGGGGGATGAGGTGGTGAGGGAGATGTGTTATCCTCAAGGACTCATGAGTGGTCCATGTCGGACAGGGGTTATGCAGAAG